TGGCTGCGGCCCCGGGGACGTGCTCTCGCTGCGGCCGTGGCACCGCAGATCCCCGAGCTGCGCTGGGTCCTTACCTGCACAACAGGATGGATGTGCTTGCTCTGCCTTGCCGAATGCTCCTGAAAGGCTGATACACAGGCGGTGCTGTTTACCGGGAGGCATAATGGCTGTCTAACATCATTACCCTCTCTTTTGCAATGTAAAATTAGCAGAATCTCACATACAAAGAGGTGGCATGGTTGGGCTGCGTTTTGAAAATCAGTGTGTCTTCTCCATGTTGCTATATTTGCTTTTGCAGTATGGATTTATAAATACGTGCCTGAAGTCTTTGGTGGTTGAAAAGTACGGTGAAGAAACATGGGAAAAATTAAGGTAATGTGTTCCCAATAAATGTAGTGCACTGAAAGAAAATGCTCTGGAATTTAGCAGCAGGGGATTATAATTTCTCACTGGTAGATGGCAGCTGATGTGTATCTCAAGTAATTACTAGAAGTAACTAGCAGGGCAAAAGCAAGAGTTTCTTACCTTGTAACACTTTATACTCTGATACTAATTTGTCCCAATTAATTTGTTGTATCAGATAATTAAGGATGACATTTAATCTTATAGCCAGTTGTGCAATAGACTTGCTGGCTCACCAGGACAGTATTGGAAAGTAATTACACTGAAAAGATGTCATCCTTGATATATGAAGTCAGTTTAATTCCAGTACTTTCAGAAAAGCAGCTAAACATATCATCTTCTCTCGTCTTGTCTTTATGAGCTAAATGGTATCTTAAAAGATAAAAAGATATATATAAATGATACTTAGACACATACTTATAATAGCCATTGAGGCCAGTGTAAAAAATCAGCAAGTTTTTGATCAAGTCTGTGGAGGCTCATGAGCTTGATATTGTGGCCACATTGAACGTCAGGCCAGTAGACCAGAAGACAAATGAAGACTCCGCTTGCTCTAGCACCCCACAGCATGATGCCCCAATCCTTGAAAGAGTTTACCGTAACACTGTAATGTGAAATAGCAGAGTGGTGGACACCACCATTCAGCCATGTTAAAGCAACACTCTTAAACCATCAGGGGAAGTAGTGGGTTCCAATATAACGCTTGCAGGAGGTTAAGGAGTGGGTTAACAGCAAACAGTGCTTAATGAATGCCACTTGGGTCACCCAAGCTTGTTGTATTTACAGCACAAGAATATTGTCTTCTCTGTTGCAGACTGCAGGCTGGAGTCCAAGATTCTTTCTTGACTTTTGAGGTGTACAAAGATGAGATCACAATGCAGCTTGTTGACAAAGCCTGCAAAATATTAGGTATGTGTCACTGTGCCTCAAAATCGAACCATCCTGGGTCAAGCCTGAGACTGCAGCCCAGGTTTTAGTCTCCTGTGCTCTTTGGAATACCCTCCCTATGTTGCACATTCTCTGCATTCACTCTTAACCCACCTGGTGGCATTTCAGCAGTTTCCAAGCCTTTCTTACTCATTAAGGTATCTTTTGCTGACATGGTTCTGAGGGAGTTTGGAGAGTATTTCTTTGAATTCTGTAAACGCTCAGGCTATGACCACATGCTGAGGACACTGGGTGGAAATCTCTACGAGTTCATAGAGAACCTGGATGCATTGCACAGCTACCTGTCCCTTTCTTACCAGGCAAGTTCGAGTAGTGATTACTGAGCAGGTACGGGTGGACTCCGCCAGCGCTCGCAACACAAGGAACAGCATCTCATAGGTCTTAACTAGTAACGGAAAAAGATGTTCTAACAGGCCCTCCTGTGTTCTGATTACTCAAAAATGTTAGGACAATTAAAAAAAATATTTCTTTTCTGAGTCGTTCTCAACATTAGATATTATTTAGTGCATTGGCTCTAATGCATATTAGATTTTCCTTCACAGGGGAGCACATTTAATTTTCTGTTTTTCAGCTTATTCATGTTACTTCTTATTTTGTTAAGACATGGGATGCTTTTGTACAAGTGGAATTCACCAGTGTTCTTTATCATAAGAAGATATTAAGGTTTTGGTTTTGTTTGTTTTTCCTCAGGAAATGAATGCACCATCTTTTAGAGTAGAAAAGAATGAAGACGGGTCAATGCATTTACATTACTATTCAGACAGAAGAGGTCTGTGCCATATTGTGCCAGGTAATCAGCCAGAATGCAGAGTACAGATCAGCTGGTGATGTCCTATATTGGCAGTTATACTGTGCTCAGATCTCAGAATCTTTCTTCAGGTGAGGACTGGCCATGGAATTGAAGCCTGGTAGAGTTTAGTCACCAGACATCTGGCCTCAGTATTCCCCTACTGCCTGATCACTCCTAGCTCCCAGTATCTTCCATCAAGATTTACGCTATGACAACCCAGGCCATAAGTGCTCTTCCTGCTATAGAACTCCAACAGAATTCCCTTCCTGGAAGAAAAACTGAAGTTCATGGTGTGTATTGTGTCTAACTGTTGATTAGTTCTCAGTGACTCATGCTCCTTGAATTACAGTGAAGTAGGAATTATAGTTGAAGACATCCATCCATTCTGTAATAAATACTACTGCAGTACGTGCACTCTGTAAAGCTACTACTGAACCCTGCTCAAAACTGAATCTTCACTGGTGTTTATAGGAATCTCCACAGCTGTACTTGTACAAGGGTTAAACAGCAGCAAGTCTGGAAGGGATGATCATATCCTTCTCTTACACAGATGCTGCTAAATTCAGAAGTTTATCAAAACTTCCTCCTTTGGCAAAACTCATTTCGTATTCCTGTTGAAGCACAGAGCTATTTGGAATTTCAGACAGAGCTTTTCACATCATTGTCCAGTATTTTGCCTAATAGCTAAGCAGAAATGAGAGGACTGATGGTGCATCTGCATGAAAGACGTTCCCTTCCTTTCAAAAGAAAATGTTCTGCAGCGACTTAAATAGATTGTTACAGCAGAATCTCATTAGAGCCCCTGCACTTTCTGGGTTAATGGGAATTCATATTACTGCTACGTATGACTATTTGGACACGATCTTCAGGTATCCTGCTGAGCTGCTTCTAGTGAAAATAAGCATTTGTCATCTGACAAGACGAAAGAAAGAGTAACTTACCTCCTATGCACATATTCTTATCACGGCAACAGTAGTAGGAACGACACAGGTTGCTAGCTTCTTCCAGAGTCCTTTGGAAAAGTGATTTCTGAGACAGTGGAATTCCACTGTGGGCCCTCTAAGAGGGAAAATGGAAAGGGTTTGTTCTTGGCAATACTTTGTCTTTTGTTTCCCCTGCAGGAATCATCGGTGCAGCAGCCCTGGATTTTTTTAACATTGAGATTTCAATGGAAATAGTCAATCAAACAGAAGAAGAAGAGGAAGAAAGAACTGGGAAAAAAGAGCATATTGTTTTTCTTGTCACTCAAAACCCTGTATTTTCATACAAGGAAAGAAATGACTTTTCTTCCTCACCTCAGTATCTTGCTGACTCTGAAAAACAAATTGAGAACCAACTGAATAAAGAGGTATTTTAATATTCGTTGTCACTGTATTATTAAATATGATTAAAATAAAAACACCCTTAAATTGCCCTTTGGATTTATTCCGACAGGACCTTGAAAAGGCCAGGAATACAGTTAATGGCAGAGGAAACTCTCTTTGTCCTGTCAAGAAAAGTCACTGGAAAACAATAAGAGGAATAATCACATTAGGAAAAGGTGAGAGATCCTTCGAGGGAGCTTGTCACCATTTCTGAGTCTCTTCAGTAAGAAAGTCAGTAAGCCTCCCTGTCTCCACCCACCCATCCATTTAGAAGTTACCATTCATATTTCCTCTGCATCTTTTCAAAATGTTTCTGGTAAAGTTTCTTTCCGTTAGACACTGGTAATCAAAGAAAAATAGCAGATAATAAGCATGCTTAGTAATGACAGATACTTAAATGGAATGTGACATGTCACTTCTGTCTCTTAAACAGGGGTCGCTTCTGAAAAGTGTTACTCTGTAAAACGTCATTGTGTGGCACATTTGATACTTCCTTCTCATGTCATCGGGTCTAAGATGATGAATGTATACAAGTGGTTTTTAACTTGGTAGCTGCCACTCCTTTCCAAGGTTATCAACCGCAGTAAATTCTGAAAGCCATATCGCACCCTCAGCTACCAAAAATCTACTGCTAATCTAGTAACCTCTGCTTATATCTCTATATATGGTATGTTTATATATGTTTATAAAACAGAAGGATTTTTTCCAGTTAGGATCTTTTGATTCCACAAGAAGAATGAGAATCCAGCTCAGTATCACCAAGCTGTCTGGATTCTGGGTGGAGGGAAAACTTGAACCTGTTATCATCTGGTGCAGTGCCACACGCAATACAAGAACAGATGTGTTGAGTAAAAAATGAATATATATTCTGACTAAATTTTGGAGTAGTGGTATTACTTAAAAAAAAAATAAAATCCTTTAACAATAAATGCAGGAGTTATCAAGAGCTATTTGAAAAATGAAAAACCCACATTGACTTTCCCTGAAGCAGTAAGAGGTCTAAAGGTCCCGTCCTAAATTTGTAATGTTTTTCACCAGCCTCCTGAGTGACTTGAGCATTCATTATCAAGCAGGATTTAATAGAGTAACTGTCATAGCCACCTTCTGCTGGAGAGAGGTCATATGAAATTATCATCCTTCTGATTACTGTGGGTTACCAGAGAATGCAAATTTATACTGTGAAGATCAAAGGCTTTGGCTGCTTCAGTCAGATGATCCCTTTTGACTTTTTTACCCATCTTACTCATTCTATGAAAATATCTGCTCACTAGCAAGCACAATCTGCTCTGTAGATTTGTGACTATTATGAAAAAAGCTTAGGGTAAGTAAAATAGAAACCAAGCCCTAACTTGGTCTTTGTGCTACAGACCAGAGCTCTTTGTATAGGAGACTGAACCCCAGATCATGCTGGGCTTTTTCTCCATAAGTGTTCCTTCGAAGCTAGCAAAGTATATTAAAGTGTGTACATTTTTTGAGGGATCTAGCTGTGTTTTATTGTTACGACATCTGCAACTTCACAGAGCAGCAACATCTACCGTTCATCTATTCCAATTTGCTTCCACATCATTTCATGCACCTAATGCTCTGTGCTTTCTGTGTGGTTTTAAACTCTCAGCCAGCTCAGATTAGTTGCTTATCAGCTGTGTATTAAACTGCCGAGCATTTAGCAGAGATGTATGCGCATTTCTGGGCACACACACTGTTTACTTTGTCTTCGCTCACTGTGGCACAGGGTCCTGTCTCACTGAGTGCTCAAAAGCAGTGCTGACTGCTTTGATGAGGTGCAGCCCAATTAAAAACTGAACATTTATCTTGCCACAGGTAAGCTCCTGAGGGGGTTTGATCCTGTTTACCCCAAGAGCCTCTGGATTGACACAAAAACATTTTGCAATGGACTTCCTTTCCATATGGTTTTTGACAAAGAGGTAGGACAAGCATGGGGTAAGGACATGTAGTTTGAGTAAACCATCTAGTAATTTTCTTCTGGTTTGGCTGTCCTGCACTTCGCTGCTGCGTGTGTATGCAGTGCACACCCATTTGTAGCGTTTACAGAAGTGCTCTGTACAGAGACATGCAATAACAGTCACCCAGAAAAAACTGGATCTGGATCATTTCAGATAGGAATCTCCTTTGAATTTATTGGGATTGCCGTGTCTGAAACAGCTGCAGATATGCCAACAGTCTATGCCAGCAGTCTATCCGTTACCAAATACGGAACAGAATTTTCTGAGGTTTCTGGCCACCTTCCCATCCTTGGATGTGCCAGAGACACGACCCATCCTTTAGACTGGCTTTGTACTGATAGATAGTCACCCTCTCCTCCCAGTTACCAGTCTAGCTAAGGGCTTTGCTGGCAGCTGAGGCTCTACGTGCTTCCTGAGTCTACTCCTACCTGCTTCTGCTGGAAAAACCCAGCTACCTACTAAATTGGGCAGCATGCAACCCCAGCTACTAGGAACTGGACTCAAAAATCTCTTTACCTTCCAGGGGAGGATTGAGGCTCCTGTGCACACATACAGCAGCAACTGTATTGCCTTCCCCTTCGCTGCTGGTTTGTGGCTGGTTTCCAACTAGCTTGGGTTCCCACCAAGCTACAGTTCCACTTATTCTTAATTCTGTGCAGAGAATATTATCTTAGGAGAGAAGCTGAAAAAGGAGAAGCTGAGAATGGGACAGCAGAAAAAAGCTGAATACAGCTACTCAGGGAATGTGTTTTGGCATCACACTGGTAGAGGTTCCAGAGTACACAGTCTGCTTCGTGCCACTGTCCGCATGTGCCAAAGTTCAGAGTTTTAAACATTTCAAGACATCCGGTCAGCATAATTTGATTAAAATGATGAGTCCTGCACCCATTATTGGTAGCTAGGTCAGAGCTTCAGTACCTCTGATGGCAGGCAGTGAAGGCACGGTGGACATTTCTGCAGGAGTTTAGAGCTCATGTATGGGCATTAGGCTAAAAGAGAATGTCTAGACCTTTACACAGCAATGGTTAAGAGAAGGTAACCCATGGCATCCCTTAGAAAATTATTTCCCAAGACATTTTTTGCCACAGCTATTTTCTTGTTGGAATGCAGAACACACTCTGGTATCTGATTTTCTCTTGCAGCTACCTGTAAGGCTATTTGTTAGGCCTACCCAAATGCAAGCAAGGATAATAACAAATTGTTTTGTTTTGTTTTTAACAAATGCTGGGAAGAGCATTTGGATGATAACATTCCTTTCTGGGCTCTTTGTGTTGCTACGAAGTACATTCCTTCAGAGCTTTACATGAAATATGCTAATAAGATAGAAACTTGTGTGTGTACATGAATAAAGAGTGATCAGCTGTAGCTTGGCCTGAACCCAAACAGCATATGAATTATAACCCATTGTCCATATTTTCTTTTTAAGCTCAGAGTGAAGCAAGCTGGGGTGAGCATTCAGAAGATTGTACCTGGCCTTCAGACCATGGGCATCCGCTTGGATCACTATTTCAGTATTGTTCACCCAGAAGTACCCTTCACCATCTCTAGCATTCAGAAATTCATCAACAGCCAATTTGTCTTCCAGACTAGAAGAGAGATGATGCCAGAGTCATGGAAACAACGGCCAATGCTAGAGCTGAGAGGTACTTTGCTGTTTTCAGTAGTATAGGTATTCATATTAAATCGGGAATCACGCTGGAGCTGAACTAACGCCTTTCTGTGGACGCCTGGCTTCACGTATGTCCTATAAATGGCCTTGTCTTTGTGCAGTAGAGGAGAGGATTAGATGGTCCTGATAAGAGAAGCAGTACTTTAAGTTGCTTGTAGACAAATTCTGCTATCACCTTACCAGATTTTGAAGGCGTTGAGTCAGAAACAATAACTGTGTTCCCATTTGAAAAGCTCAGAGAGACAGTTTTTCAGATGCTGCAAAGCCCACATCTTTGCAGGTTTCTTGAGTAGCAGGGGCAAGGCCAAGGGAGGACTAGGTTGTTTTCCAAACCACCTCCAGTCTCAGTTATTCACAGAGATCAGAATTGACTCAACTCCAGTTGAGTTTGGAAGGGACCTCTGGAGATTGTCTATTCCATCACCCCGTCAAAGCAGGGCCACCTCGAGCAGGTTGCTCGGGACCATGTCCAGTTGGATTTTGAATATGTTCAAGGCTGGAGAGCCCACAACCTCCCTGGGCAATCCATTCCAGTGTTCAACCACCCTTACAGTAAAGAAGTTTTTTCTTATGTTTAAATGGAATTCTTGCATTTCCGTTAGTGCCTGTTGTCTTCTGTCTTTACATTAGATACCACTGGGAAAGTATTTCTTACTCCCTCCTATCAGGTATTTATACATAATTATAAGCCCCCCTGAGGCTTGTCTTCTGTAGACTGAACAACCCCAGCTCTCTCAGCTTCTCCTCATGCTCCAAGCCTTCCCAGGTCCTCCACCCTTTACTTCTTGAAAATAGGAGTGACATTTACTTTCTTCCAGTCCTCAGGAACCTCCCCCAGTCACCATGACCTTTCAAAACTAGTTCAGTGGCATCGCCACGACACTGACCAGCTCTCTCAGATGCATCCCTGGATGCATCTCATCAAGTCTCATGGAATTACATATCCAATTTGTTTAGATGTTTACTCACTTCCTGTGCCAGCGGTAGGTCTTCATTGCTCCAGACTTTTCCACTGGTCTCAGGGCCCTGAGATTCCTGAAGAACGATTCCTACCTGCAAAGACTGAAGCAAAGAAGGCACTGAGTACCTTGGACTTTTCCAGTATCCTTTCTCAGCAGACCCCTTGCCCTATTCAGCAGCAGGCCTACATTTTCACTAGACTTCCTTTTGCTGCTCATATACCAGTAGAAGCCTTTCTTTTTCCTCAACAGATGCAACTCCAGGTGTGTTTTGGCTTTTTCAACCCTGTCGCTTCCTCTGGGGTGGCCTCACCCAGCTTTCACCTCTCGTATTCTTTCTTTTTTTATGTTTGAGGTTAGTTAGGAGCTCCTTGTTCATCCATGCAGGCCTCTGCCATGCCTCCTTGACTTCTGCACTTCGAGACAGACCATGTCTGAATGTGGAAGAGGAGATCCTTGGAAATCAGAATATCAACCAGCTCTTCTGGACTCTTCTTTCTGACATAGTATCCCATGGGATTCTTCCAGGCAGATCCTTGAATGGGACAAATTCCAGTCTCCTAAAGTCTGGGAATGTGATCTTGCTCTTTTGCCTTGTTCATGCCTCTCAGGTTCCTGCAATCCCCCATTGCACAGTCATTGCAGCCAAGGCTGCACCCAGCTTTTTCATCCATAGTTCTTCACTGTTTGTAAGTATCAGGTCTAGCAGGACACCTCTGCGCCTCGGCTCATCGGTCCCTCATGTCAGTGCCTCAGTGCACTCCAGAAATCTCCTGAACTGCTTGTGCGCTGCTGTGTTTGTCTGCCCAGCAGCTATACAGGTAGCTGAAGTCCACCATGAGGCTTCCTCCACTTGTCTTAAGAAAGTCTCATCTACTTTTTCTTCCTGAGCCGACACCCATTGCAATGTCATCCACGTTCTTCTCCCCTCTAATCCTTATCCAGCCGCTTTCGGCTGGCTCGCCATCCGGCCCTAGGCAGAGCTCCTTGCATTTCCCTTGCTCTCTCACATCACAGGCAGCTCCCCCTCCTTGCCTGCCCGCCCATTCTGAAGAGTCTGCATTCATCCTTTGCAGTGCTCCAGGTGTGTAAACTACCCACCAAGCCTCTATGATCCCAATGACATCCCCCTGATGTTCTGGCCTCTAGTTCTCCTGGTTTTGCCCCATGCTGTGCACGTTTGAGCACAGGCTCCTCAGAGAGATGACCAGTCATGCCTATTTCCCAGAAGAGGTACGAGAGCTTTCCCCATAATGCTGCCCCATGTGTTTTTCTTTGCAGAGGTTAGAACCAAGTATTTAATGTAAGGCATTACTCTGGGGCGATTCCTGCAACATGGTTGTATCGTCACTCTTGGTTCTGGTTAGGATTCAGTGCCAGTTGCCCAGTGAATCTTCCCAGCCCTCAGCTACAGCCTTTTGCTTCCCTGGGGACCTGTGGAAGGGACACAGTGCCCAGCCCTTCTGCTTCTGGAGCCACCGGGCTCAGCATGGAGATGCGCTGAGCTGGGTAAGAGTAACTGTCCATGCCTCACCTCCCCGTAGCTCAGCACATCAGCTGCTGCACCCGACACGGAATTCCTTTGCGCTCCTAAGAATTTTCTTTGCCAGAGAAATTACTGCTTTGTACATGGAAGAACATTTTAAACACAGCCACCCAGCACAGGCAATGCCAGTTCACAGATGCTGGATTGCATCTTTGGCACATACAGGCAATAACGAAACACAGGGTGAGCATCCCTTGCCATAATACCCCGCGAGCATCGCTCCTGCCAGCACACCCTTCCCCTCTCCCTGGCAAGGGGCAGAAGGGGCAGGGGATGAGGGAGGCACTCAGAGACAAAGTCCTGATAACGTTGCTACAGCTGGAGGAAAGAAATGGCTTCCTCGGCGCCTCCATGCATTTTGATTCCTAAAATGCGAGTACGTGATTCATTCTTAATTTATGCCTTTGAGGGGAGTTATTTGCTACTGGCTGGATTTCAGATGTGGATAAAACCAGATTAGTTAGCCGGGCTTTTATTTTTGGTAGCTGCATTTTCAAATTCTGAATTCTGTCTTCACCCCCACCCCAATGTTACATAAGAATTTACCAGTAAAAACTATTTTAGCTTAAAAGATATTTTATATTTGCTTTATTTTTACTGAGAGAAATGAGTAGGGAATGGTTCTCTGCTTCGTGTAATTAACTGTAATGACATTTGGTTTAAGTGTCTCCTGACCTCAATTTTGCTTCTCTGAACTGTATAATATGACCCAATTTTCCCTTCTTTCCTTTCACCTTTACATAATGAGTGTCAAATCTGGTATTCCTGCGATTCAGAAAAAAAAAAAAAAGATTTTAGGGAGACCTTGAAAAAAGTCATGATACCAAAACAAGGAACTTTAACTAGTCACAGGTACAATTTTACTTCCTCTTCTGGTGCCAGGATTAATTCACATGGTATCTCAGGTGTACCAATCTGTTAGTTTTCAAACTGTTCATCCAGGTGCCCTGGGGATGGGGTGAGAGAGTAGGAAAGAAATAGGAATTCCTAGATTGCTGTTCAGAAACCAAAGATACTTATGAAGCAAATAATAATAAAAAATATTAAAAAATCAAACCCATCACAAAATCTCAACAAAGAAAACAAATACACCCTCCTCTCCCCTCCCCTCCCCCCCAAATCCCTTTCAGGAGTTTTTGTACCTGCTCATTTAGGTGATCACAGTGACTGGAAGCTTCAGCTCCCAGGAAGGAAGGCTCCGTTGACTTTACCGGGGCCGCATATTACCCACTGTGAAATTAAAATTTCCACAGTTTTGGTGATGGGTTGTGAGTCCGAGTTCTCCTGTGCATGCTGCTGCCTGCCTGGCTTCAGAAGCAGCTCAAGAACTCATAGCAGAGGAGAGGGGAGATGTGAGCACGGGGGTTCCTTGTGAAGAGGAACTGCTCTGCCTAGCAGTTGCAGTGAGCGAGTGACTGCTTTCTGGGTCCTGATCTATTTTTCAGTTTGCCTAGTGTACCTCCTCCAAACAAGTCCACTTCTAATTCCAGGAAACAAAGTAATTCCTGTGAGGACCCAGACCCTGCAAAAAGCCACTGTCCTTAGAACTCATCCCCTAAAATTCACATCCGTAGTGCTGAGCATCACGTCAGAGCCCAAGCTGCTGAAAACTCTTACCGACGCTTGTTTCAAACAGGCCAGATGATCTGGATGGAGTCCCTGCAGTGCATGCTCTACCTCTGCTCACCTTTGCTTCGCACTTTGCATGAACTGGAGGAGCGGCAGATGCATATCGCAGACATTGCGCCCCACGACGTGACCAGGGATTTGATTCTTCTCAATCAACAGCGACTGGCAGAGATGGAGCTCTCTAACCAGCTGGAGAGGAAGAAGGAAGAGCTGCGAATACTGTCGAAGCACCTGGAGGAAGAGAAGAAAAAGACTGAAGCTCTGCTCTATGCCATGCTTCCTCAGCACGTGGCCAACCAGCTGAAAGAAGGGAAGCGAGTTGAGGCAGGTGAATGAACAGGACGGATTCGTGATGCACGATTCATGCGTCAGGTGATGGTGACAGAGAGAGCAGGGTGCTGGCACAGCCCCGCTGCCACTATTGTGGTATACTTGGTGACATTCATGGGTAGGAGGAGGACCACAGACCCTTAATCTCGCTGATAATAAAGATTAGGCTATTCTTTCCAACAAAGCTTTGGAAGCTATTTGCCAAAATTGTTCCGTAGGAGGTAACAGGTGGTAGCAGATCCCCATTCAGCGAACAAAATTCTGTGCTTCAACAGCAAACTGAGGTTTTGTTTTTAATGTGGGTATACAGGGAAATGAAGGCTCAAAAATGAAGGGATAAAGAAATTGGTCTCTCCTAGAAAATTCTCTTTGTTCTTCTATGCCATCTATGAACATAGAATCATCATGATTCCCATTGTTATTAAGGATAGCAGGTAAGAATATGCTTAAATTGCCTTTAGTAAGCACGTATATGAAGTTAGGGTAAAGAGCCAAGTATGTCCTGAATATGGATGGACAAAGGGATGTATTCAGATGTCTGGATTATTTGGGATGTGCAACAATTCTTCTGTTTTATATACTCTTACATCAACATCTCTCTCTCATATCAGCACCCGTTTTAAGAGTATTGCAACTGATAGTTTGCCCGTCCTAAAAGAATGATGAGAAAGTAATCGTTGCAAACAGATCTCAAGCAGATGTTGTGATTGTCCAGCTGCAACAAGTACTTACTGCTGCTCTTTCTGCTCACAGGAGAGTTCAAGGAGTGCACTGTCTTGTTCAGCGACGTTGTGACCTTTACCAACATTTGTGCCCAGTGCGAGCCTATTCAGATAGTTCTCATGCTAAATTCAATGTACCTGCGATTTGACAGGCTGACCACCGTGCATGACGTGTACAAGGTAGGTACTGGTGGATAAAGGCTGTAGAAATAGTCTGGAAAAATATTTTGTTGCTGTTGTGGTGATGTTTTGTTTTTAAAAGACTTAAATCCTCTCCCCCCCCAGCATGATTTTTCATAAACCGTAAAATACTGCATAATTGTAGTGGCCCGACAGAGAAACTAAAACCAGGCAGAGGTGTGAATTAAGACGTTTAAAAAATTCGGACAGGAATGTAGTGTCTATCGTGGGTAGGGTCTCTTTCCACAACCCCACCACCGGCGTGGCTGTTCTTTCCTACATCTCTCTCTCCTCTCTCAGATGCCTACCCATCATGACAGGACATCCCGGTTTATGGATCAATTTGAATGATTTTCCTGGTTCTTTTATTCCAACCTGTTGTAAATAGGTCACTACGTCGTTAAGTGTCTCCTTTGGTGAGAAATAGCATTATAAACAATACCCAGGTAATACCTGGGCTTTATTTTGCTTCATGGAGACCTTAGGCAATGGTACAGATCTCCTGCTGACTCCAAAGAACATTGATTAGATCCAGGCTGTCACGTGCATGTTGTCCCCAACCCGTGCTGGAAGGATCAGAGCCCTGGTTGGCGTATAATAATAGCGTATAATAATTAACATCTCCAGAACTACCCAGATCTGACGAGCTGAAGAACAACTCCGAAGATTCTCTCCGTCCCCAGCACATTAAGTATTTAGGAAGTCAGAAATAGTGAAGGGTGAAATCCCAATCTCATTCATTCCTTGCTTAGGCAAGGCATGTAGTTCATCTGGCAATAAATTGTGCTGCGAGAGCAGAAGCATTTCTGCCTTGGCAAGGAAACTGTCTTCAATAATTGAAGCATCCAGGATATGGCCCACAGATTTTAGGATAAATTAGCATCATATTCTATCTAAATCATCCATCATGGGTAAATTATCTGTCGCTATAATAATCTCCTTTTGATGCCTGTATATAACTCCTATTAATATTGAAGGGGGTTACTAGGGTACAGGGAGGGAGGACAAGATTACTCTTTCAGGGAATTGAGAAAGAAATGAGATATTGAAACTGATTAAAGGAACTTGGCCCAAGCTTATAAACATCTGAAGTTATGAATGAATCTTGTTAAATTAAATCTACCACCGCCGAAAAATAATTAGGGTGTCTGCTTGCAGTAGTAGCTTTTTACAGTGGTTTTTAATCTATTATAGCAAATAACTGGCATTATTGTGGAGCTGACTATCTGGCAGAAGGCTTGTATGGGGACATGTTTTGAGAGTAATGTGCAGAACAGTTGTAAGTCGTCATGATAATGAACAAACTCGAAGACGAAATGATGTTCCCACTCTCCTATTGGTGTTCATTTTTAAGAAATCCAGTTCATCTAATTTAACCTCATCTCTTATTTACTGCTGGTAAATGACCACTTATAAGAACAGTCTGGAAAATTTCTTTACTGTCTAACAGTCTTTTACAGTGAATTTTAAACATTTGAGAATTCGCTGTTTCAAACAGGCTTATTCTATCCCAGACAAAATCTCTGGTATAGGGACAAATGCCAGAGTATTTCTCAGGTGCCTTACCGTGTACTTCAAGGAGACTGGACACCTGAAGGAGGATGAAAACTCCAGCGTTTGTCTCACAGGCACGCTGTGGGAAAACAGCTGGTTGTGAGGAAGGATGCTCGGAGCTGCTTAGTCCACACTTTGCATTCTCTGACATCCTGGAGATTGGAGGTTTCTTAATTTCATGTGAACCCCTTAATAATAATCATGTGTGAATAGACTCCCATGCTTTATTGTGGCATTTTAAAAAGGAATTCTCTTTTAAAAAAGAAATAAGCCCTTAATGCCAACTGTGAATTAGAGCTAATTAATAGCCTTCAGCTCTTGGATAACCTCCTGGCTCAGGAGTCTGTGCCTGGGGATAGCTCTTTGCATACAGGTCTGCCCTGGGTAGGAGGCAGGGAGAAAGTCTGACACTTGCACAGCATCCCTTACTCCGTAGGGTCTCTCACACTGGTGTCTGAAATAGGTCAACTAAGCAGGGACGAAATGCTTTGTGTGGAGTCGAGGAAGAGATCCTCATCTGAAGGGAAACTCATGCATGCTAAAGCCTTTTAGTGATTGGAAACATCTTTTAGAAGGAAGTGGGAGTTGGTGTGGGTAAGACTACTCCCAAACAGCAAAGCACTAACCTGAGCAAGATGCGTATGGCATGCTCATATGCTTGTCCCTCTCGATTAAGGTGGAGACAATTGGAGATGCCTACATGGTCGTAGGTGGGGTCCCTGTGCCTGTACCCACTCATGCTGAGCGAGTTGCTAACTTTGCCTTGGGGATGATAATAGCAGCTAAAGGAGTACAGAACCCAGTTTCTGGAAACTCTATCCAAGTAAGTTGTTAATGCAAAGATGCACGTGTGTCTGTCCGCTTCTGGTTAATATATTGCAGTGGGACATCAAAGCGCTGCTTGACTCCTCCGTGACTTTGGGCACGGCCCACATCGGTACATTGTTCACAAAGAGCCTCTCCCTGTGGCTATCTGATATTTTAGTGGTGTCCAGTGTTGTGTTAGGGTGAACTTTTAGGTGGCTGGATAGCATTAAGAAAGATGTTAAATAACAAGTGACATTTCTGGGGGGTGTTTTATGTCTTTGTAAAGATTAGAGTTGGGATCCATACAGGTCCTGTCTTGGCTGGAGTTGTTGGAGAAAAGATGCCTCGTTATTGCTTATTTGGAGACACGGTGAATATAGCTTCCCGGATGGAGAGTCATGGTGTCCCGAGTAAAATTCATCTCAGCTCCAGTGCCTATCAGTGAGTAACTGTGATGGAAACTTTGCCTGTGAAAAGCTGTGCTGCAAAACACTGCCATGACAGCTGCAGCTGTCGGTGTAGATGATGCTGTTGGTAGTCACTGATTTGTGCAGTTTGCTCATAAAGAAAAATCACTGCTTGCACAGAGTTTCATGTGCTGTGATTGTTTCAAATTCACTTGCATGTGGAGATAGAGGTTTGAGAGCCTCGACCCTAGAGAGCAAAATAAGGGAAAAAAATAACTGTGATAGCTTATTTAGAAGTACTGAGAGAGTGATGTAGATGCTAGAAAGACAGTCAGAACATTTAATCTGACACCCTGCATAACAAAAGCTGTACAATCTCTCTGAGCACAACAATTTGTGGTGCCACAGTTTTATTGGCACTTGCTAAGGTTTAAGTGCAATAAACCACTATCCTATTCATGCAGTGAGTAATTTACTTTCCTAAAACTCACGTCACTAAAAATTAAATACTACATTTTCAAGAATGTTATGTATGCATAAAATATGTATGCAAGAGGTGGAGGTGAAGACAAGCTACAGAGCTTGTACAAAGCTACAAATACGTTGCCTGGGCACATGGGAATGATATTAGGAACGGCAGAGCTCTGTTAGCACTGAAATGGGCAGGTTCAAAGGCAGTAAGAGGACCTGCTGCTGTGTGAGCAGATAAGTATAAATGGAAACGTGGCCCTGCTGTGGCAGGTGGTTTAGGGACAGTGCCCTGAGCGAAGGCTGGGTTACCCAAGGCCTCTCTTGCCTCAGACTTCACTGACAAGGTCTTCAAGGTCCCTGCACCTAGAGTCAGGGTTCAAGGAGGAGGTGAAGCACTGGTATTGGAAGAGGATCAGGGGTCTTTTGGGAAATCTGTCTACAGAAGTGTATGGCAGCAGTTGGGATGCCTCGCCAAAGGTAACGAGAGCTGGGTGATGGCGCTGCAGTGCTGCTGACTCTCATCTTTGGAAGGTCATAAAGATCAGCCCCGTAGCCACTGGAGAAAGCCAGATGTTACTTGAAAAATGGCAAGGAGGACAGGCTGGGGGACTACAGGCTTATCAGCTTCATGTCAGTCCCAGTGAAAATCAAGTCCTCTTGGAAGCCAATGCATGAAGAAGGCAGCTGGGAATAGCCCGTCTGGATTTACCAGGACTAAATCACGTGTGTTGAACCCAATTGCCTTCTCTGATGAAGTGACTGGAGATAGTTCTAACTGATATTGGCTGCCTCAGTTCTTAATTTCCATTTACTGATCAATAAGAACCCTCCACCATACTGAAGCATTTGACTGTGTGATCTACTGATTTTTGATCAGGCCGTGCGTGTAAAGCTGTAAAAGCACAGCAGGCTTGAATAAACAATTGGACAGATCAGTACTGTTTTCCCTGGACTCCTGTGATTCGATTACTTAGATTACAACAGCTCTCTTAAGACATCAGTGTCATTTTTACTAATCTGTGTCATTTTGCTTCTGATATTTCAGATGCCTAAAATACAAGAATTTTGAGATGGCCGAAAGAGGAGAAATAGAAGTAAAAGGCAAAGGGAAAATGCACACATACTTCCTCATTAGAAATAAAACTGCAACGGAGAATGAGATTATGGGAAGGCCAATGAGAGACTTAGATTCTGGCCATGAACCAGTTCAGTCCTTTCAAGAAGGCAGGACTGAAACAACACCAAGTTGTCATCAGCCAGGTAGAATCAACACGACGTATCTTTCCCTCCTTGAAGAAATGAATGTTAATACAACTCAATTAAATATGCTTTTCTGTTCTTCTTTCAGTGACTCAGACGGAGAAGGACCAGACCCCAGCCATTGCAATGAAGTACATTGATGGACCCACAGATGGACAAAACAGCCTCAAAAGAAGAAATCAAGCGAAAATTGCAGATTTAACAGGTAGTTATGTAGTTACCATCCAGCAAAGACAACAGAACTAGGAAGTAACTGAAGCTTCATCTTGCAGCTTCATTATATTCCTCTTCTGAGCAACCATTATTTTACTAAAGCCATAAATTCATGCCAACATAACCGTGTTGGTGAAACTAACCCTTCTGCACACTGTTTAGGGCCAAACAGGTTCACCCTCAGAGCAACCCCAGGTGTTAATTGTGCACTAGGGAGGAGGAAGCCGACAGCTGTCAAACCCCAGGGTCCCTCTGGCAGTGCAAGCAGAACGCTGTCAGACAGCTCTTCACATGGACAGACCCAGTTGTTCATGTGCACACCCTTTCCTAGAAAAGCTGTCACCGTTTGTAGCTGTGGGGAAGCCCTTATCCACTCAAGCCTGAGAGACCGCCCACTGGCTACGCAGCCTGGCAGTCCTCAAGCCAGTTTCCTGCAGGAGTCAGAAGGATTTATTGCCATGCCCCCGTTCTGCGGCCAAAGTTCATTCTCCTTCGAAGCAGCTGGTACTGAGAGATAACGGATTTGATGCCATAACAGTCTAATCTTATGCGTCAAGTCATGTAATTCTGTTTACATGTTTTGTGGGTTTTATACAGACTGAATATGTTGTCCCTGATTACTATTAAACACTTTACTCCTTTCCCTCCCACCTGCTTAGACGTGGTAGTTAGTCTAGTAGATGGTGTGTGCTGGCAAACAGAAACCTCTGTGGTCATTAGCAACTCACGCTGAAGGAGTGTTTCCTTTCAGGCAAAACTTATGATTCTAAAAGCGATGGGAATCTCCATGGCAACCAGCATGCAGATGATGGTCCTTGTCCTCTAAACCGGGGAAGAGTCAAACCTGCTACTGAAGAGCCGCAGATTAGAAACGTTCGCTCTAATTTTTGCACTTTACTCTAAGTTTCGTACTTTTCACCTTAAACAGAGCAATTTCATTATGATTTGGCGCATTTTGCTGTTGTGAGACTGATTTTGTATATCAAGTACCACATGATTTTGTAAAAAATACAACAGAGAAAACAAGAAAGAAAAAAAGACCTTTCATCACATTTTTCAGGAAATAAAGAAACAATGGAGGATTTTTTTTAATCAATCCACACGTGCCATACCGTGGTCCCACCGGAGAAGGGAACAACCGCAAGATGCTTTGAAGACATGTTTTTCACCCTCTGCCATGTCTTTGAATATCCCTATTTAAAGTCACTTTTTGGTAGCTCATGCAGCAATCGAGAAGGAGGTGACTCATCCAGCTAGAAATATTCCTACTTAAACGAGCACTTGCCGTAACAGAAACATTCCCTGAAGCCTGTCTTGACTTAAGCACAGCCAACAGCTTCCCCGGGTCAGGTCAGCAGGGTTCGATCTACGTTTTAACTGTGATGACAGTTTAACCTCTTGACGGGCCTTTTGTTGGGCAGAGGCGTTATGCAGCGGAAACGCAGAGTAGATCTAATACAACCTGCACCTTCCCATCCCCAAGAGAACGTATCCCAACAGTACGAAACACATCTGCGACCTCTGCACCAGCTGCCCGGGCTGTGCTCAGGTGATGGCAGAGGGACATGCACGTCAGCGGCGTTACGTAGCGTCGTAGTCATCACGACGCTGAAGGACCGTTCAAGGCCTGTGAACTCTTTGAGACCTTCAAACGAGGTGCAAGCGTATTTCTCATTTTCTAACCCCAGCTAAACAAAAATAAGGTTTGAGGACTACAGGGGGAGGCTGTCAGGGCTGGAATTAATGTCACTGAAATTCATTAATTGAGAAATTAATGTTACTGAAAGTAACAGCGTTGAAGGTCAACGTCACTCACCTGGTGTCAGAGGCCTCTCTGCTGAAGTACCGCCGTGCTGATATATTCTTAGATCAGGCCTGATCAGAAATGGCAGAGAAAAATTGAAGTTCAACTGTCAGGGATTTAAGATGCACGAGGAAAAATACAATTCAGCACGTTGTAAATTGTGCTTGCACTGCTGTCGGTGGAGCTGGGAGTTGGTGGAATGTGCTTGTACGGGGTGACTTTGGCAGGAGGTACACCCCTCACACGGATTTATCACCTTTGGGCGTGCATTCGTTGTCTAAGGATGCAAGCATGAGACCCACTTGAATTCGGAGCAAGAACTTACCGGAGAAGATGGTAACGTTACTCCTCTGTTACGCCCTGGAGCATCACATTTCCAGCTCTGTGTCTGCCCAAGAGTGAGGTGCTTTTACACCAGGCAGAGAGGCAAGACTGACGAAAAGCATCTCCTCCTCTCTGTAGCACAAGGTGACATTTCACCTGGTTAGATTTTCTTCTTAAATCGCTGGCACAGTGGCTGCCTGGTGTGGGTGCTGTACAGCTCCGTCAGCAGGCAGTGCAGACCAGTAGAGGAGGGTGTGTAGAACGAAACTGTCCGTGCTGATGTCCATGCTAGGTAGTTCAGAGGGCTTGCTAGTGCGGTCCCACGCGCTGAATACCTGTCAGCTTATGGATAAGCACATCCTCTGCCTGAGCTGCACCCAGGAGGGATCCATTCGTGTGCTTTGAGACCCCCCTGCAGTGTGAAACGAAGTAAGAAAAGTGGGTCCGAGCAGGAAATTCACTCAGGAGGGTAACTCCTGCCTGGCTGAAATGCTGACGTAGACGCACCCTTAGGCGTTAGCACTTCCCATGCTGTGGCTGAGCAGCACCACTCTGGGAGAGTGCCGTTCTATTAACCACGCATCGAGCTAGTTATTTATTTTAAAGGATCCTGCTGTCTAGACACCGTCCATTATTAGGGCGAGATTGAAGGTTGAAGGTGCATCCGAGGATTATTATTGTCAAGTTGGGTATCAAGATTTTAACCATTTGACCGTGTGCTCCCCTCAGACACACAATGTCTAAATCTCACCTCCATCCGTAATAACTCCGCCCCTTCGGTCCAGCACTCACGGCTTTGCACTTCTGTATGATGCCCATAGCTTTAAAAAGACTTCCCTAAAGAAAGATAATACCCCATTTCTCCCTCACTCACAATGATGTAGATGTGAAGGAACAGTTAAATCGACGCTCTCCCGCCGATTTAGGTTGAGAATCAACTTCGACAAGACTTTTTTGTCTCCAGCCTAGAGGTGCGTTTCACTGCTCTTCGCTAGTCGTGCTGATGGGGCGGAGAACGCGTCGTTTATCACGTGGCATTGGCGGGCTCCGTCTTTACCGGCATCTGCTATGGAGATATAAACCCACCTGGCCCCAAGCACAAGTGTGACGCAGGAGTGTACATCTCAGTGGCCAGTGATAAGGCAGGTGGGAACCTCTCGCTGTCCCAGCTGCTCTTGCAGTCCCATTCCTGCGTGGCCGAATACCACTGACCATCTCTCCAAAAGGAAGAGTTTCCAGCTGGAAATTGTCCAACAAGCCTGGCCATCAGTCAGCAGGGTTTAGTATATATTCCAGGGTTTAATACCGATATATTCCAGAGTGGATTTAGAGAGAAGCCCAGAGCTCCTCTGAACGTGTATGGATCCTCTTGGGAAGAAGAAAGAGAAGGACCATGGCTTAATTGCTGCCTACATCTCCGTGTCCGAATTTTAACACTCGCTTTGCTTATACCTGCCCTGTTTGCACTGACCAATCTATGAATGTTTAATATCGGGATGTTTTAATTGCCAGTAAGTGCTCCATGGTAAGTTACTTCATGCTGTACTGTGGTAAAACTGATGTGCTCAGTGGTTTCTCTGTGGCCTCTGCTGCAGTCTGGTTCTCCTGAAGATGCAGAACTAGGTCAGATCTGCACAACTGCTTTTAAAAATTAATGTGCCTGTGCATCATCATGTGTTCTTAAATCTGTGGGCACTGCTGAAGACTGCAAAAGTATCATTCAGAAATAAATCTGTTCACATACTGGCTGCCATTTGTCAAAGACTACTTTGATTCCTTTCCTTCTTTTCCCTTCCACCCTTTCTGTTTTTTTCCCTAAAGTATACAGAAGTTTAAGACCATCATACCTCTTAGAAACGTCCAGTGAGTTTGATTTCTTGACCAAGTTCTGTGTATTTGTGGGACATCAGGATCAGCAGCCCGCTACAACTGACACTGTCATACGCTTACTAATACGCAGTCGTACTGTCAGTGACCTTTCTGCACTGGATTGTCACAAAAAGGGTGGGAGAAGGTAACTCCCACTGCTGCTTCTCGGGAGCTGAGGCTTAGAAAATTCGGAAGTTGAGACTTTGGAGAGCTGTCTCAAGCATATGGATTCCCAAATCCCATTAAATCGCGTGTTCAAACATGAATTGTCAAAAGCTTGGGTACCTTAAAGGTCTAGGGGTCAGATTTTCAGAGACGTGTGTTGTCGCTTTGCTGAGTGAAATCAACTGGATTGAGGTACGTAACTGAACACATACGCGTTGTCCAGTTTCTGACAATGAAGCTTTCCTTAAAACATTAAAAAAGCACTTCCCTGAAGATGCCTTCGACAGTGAGCTGTTCAGTAAACTTGCCAAACCGTAACCTCATTTCCTGGGTCATCGGGTCATTGGTCATGTGACAATGCAACTCTGTATGGACCTGAGCTGAACACACACATCCACATATAAATAGCAGTGAAATTGAAATTATTACCTCCTTGGTGAGAATATATTAAAAACGTACTTGAATCGCCAAAACATGGTGAACTTCAAAATGAAAAAAGGAGCACGGATTTTTATACAAGTATAGAACATTGTGGAGAATCCAGATGGGACTTTTTTTTTCCACCAGGTCTCTGCTATCCATTTGGAAAGCTCAAGATTTTAAGAGTAGACAGTGAGATGAAAATTCTCCTTAACGTTATCGGTACAAACATCTGGGCGGAGAATGGATAGAGAGCA